TAAAGGCCCGTCTACAATACACGTAGTAAGCTTGGTTTAGAAAGTAAGAATAAGAAATTGACCAATCACAGTCGAGTGTGAAAAGAATAATCGACTGTGATTGGTCAATTTCTTACTCTTACTTCTTAAACCAAGCTTACTACGTGTATTGTAGACGGGCCATAAGAAATGGGTGAATCACAGTCGATTATTCCCCTCGGATTCGACTGTAATTGATCAATTTTTTACGGCTTAAGTCTTAAAACCTATTGTAGATCCGGACTAAAGGCCATCACACGTACAAAAATTTTAGTTGTAATCGTAAGGCCGTAAGCAAATCAGCCAATCACAGCTGAGCGTTTTGAAACACGATCAGCCAATCACAGTCGAGCGTTTTTGAAACGTAATTTTGATTGTGATTGGTTGATTTGCTTGCGACATTATGATTATGACTAAAATTTTTGTACGTTTGCTGGCCTTAATTCAATATTCCTTCTATTGTGGCTGCACCTAAACGGAAAGGTCCTCTGCCGGAATGATCGCGTACTACGGAATGAGTTTTGGAACGCAGTATTGATAAACGGTAGCCCTCTGCCGGAATAATTGCGAATTATAGAATTGTTTTTTTTTTATCACCGCAGAAAGATGTCATCCCAATAGTCGCTTGTTTCGTTATCTAATCCCGTTTAACTTCAAAGTGTCTCAAAGGGTCCTATTTAAACACGAAAAAGCATAACAAATATAATCAAGATAATTATTTCGTTCTTCAGAAGAACGTTGTTGTTATAAAGTTAATATATATCAATGCGTATATACATGTGCGTACAACAATCATTCAATGTTTTGAACTTAACTTTTCTTCTCTCGCGAATTTTAAATATTAACCTCTCTAAAAGTAATTTGCAAACATTGTTTTTGCCTATATTTATAGCTGACCAAGGCCTTGTCAAGATATCCGCATATAATAAATTTGACAGACTCTAGTCGTGAACTCTATGTGGACATAAAAAAAGCAGAAATCATGAAAGAACTGTTGACAAATCAAGCTGTGGGATATAGTAGCTCCTTTGTCAATAACAATAACAATCGAGATGCAGGGACCAGCAGTATTACAAGCGATAATAATTCGAGGAGATATGCTATGCTCAGCACTGAATGGGTCTCTACTATCGGCGAAGAACTAGGCATGCATCCCTTGCCAGATCCTCTTTTAAAAAGATTAGCTGAAGATGCTTCCTATCGTTTAAGAGAAGTCTTACATGTAAACAATATGATTCCTATTTAATATTTAATCCTTTGCAATTTAAATTTTTCTTAATGAGCAAAGATCAAGAATTTTATCCTTAAAGTATTATATCAAGTTTAGATAGACACAGAATTTCAAAGGATTAATAGTTTGACATTTATATGATGTTGATCATCCCATAAAATATTACTTATTCATTTCCAGAAATGTGTTACGAGACTGAGACATAGTAAGAGAAAACGTCTGACATCTATGGATGTAAATGCAGTAATCACCAGTTTATGCGACGCCGATCCGGTTTTTGGTGCACCAGAATCCTTACCAGAGTATCATACAGAAGCAAAGGTGTATGTGCCTAGCGAATCTATTGTTAATCTCGTTAATCAAATGAATGATCCGTTGTGCCTGACGCAAACTAATGTGCCATTTCTGCAAGGCAAGTTCTTTTAAAATTTATATGTTTATGATAAATCTTAATATATGAATTTGATAAAATGTAATTTTTATTTAAAATTGCTGCTAATTTCTTGATACAATCTTTCAATTTGTGTTAAATTTTTTTTTTAGAATCTGAGATATGTGATCTGAAGCTCACAGAAGCGCGTCATAATTATGCCAAACGTGCATTGAAGACCTTGTTTAATGGCTCACAAAAAACCTTTCAGGTATATAGAAACATGTACATATAAATTACTTTTTAATATTATTATCATAAAATATAAAAATGCAATATTATTTTTTATATTTCCAGGTCTTGCTTAATGACTGTGCCACTAACGTTCATTTAGGCGATGAGGGAGTCGTCGATAAATTGATGTCCATTGCTAGGTCTATGGTAATCTCAAATAATGCACAATATACACGTGTTTCCACACGGACGTGTCAACTCATAATTGCCATTGCCAGTAATAGCGAAGCTGTCTATCCTTATCACTTAATTTCGGTAATTAATGCAAAATAATAGTATATTTTTTGTAAATTTTTACTCAAAACATTTGAATCTTAAATCTTTGCGTTTATTTAAAGGTGGATAAATTAACGGAATTATTGTTGGAATTATTGTTGGGTCAAAGTTTCATACATCCGAATTTAGAGGTGTTTTTCAAAGAGTGCGTGCTGAAATTGATGCTTCGCTGGCCATCGATTGCCGACAAGTAATATGAAACTTTTAAAATCTTGTATTTATTTTGCAAAATAATTTCATGAAAAACTGGTTCTCTGAATATGTATGGACAGGTATATACCAACATTGAAGAATGTTCTTTTAAAATGTGAAATGGAAAGCAGTTCTACAATTGAGTTCTACAAAAAAAGGATAATGGCGGTGGAATTGTTAGCGAGTATTCAGCCTCTTATATTTTTCCAACATGACATCGCGCACTCACTTTCCATACAAAATATTTTATATTATTACGCTTCGTTTGGTTCAATTATTTGGCAGCGAATAGCTGTTAGTATCAACATTATATTCTAATCCTTAGAATATGGTTCTTTAATTAATTTTCTTGTAATTATTATAGTTAGCCGTTTGTGCCCTTTTGAAATCACAGGGTTCTTTGAACCTCGCCCCTTTGATTGAACATTACGGAGACTCGTTATTACCTTATATACCTACTAATCGTGATGATAATGCAAGAGAGAGAAGAGATAAAAAAATTGGCACACTGCCTATCATCGTTAAAAGCAAGATAAGGTACGTGGAAGTCAGATCGTTGCTTAACACCAGAATGCTGTGGGATCGACAAACAGCGTTTCCAGATTCCACCCTGAGAGGGCCGAGACGAGAAATAAGGTGTGTATCATAAAATTAATGAAGCTAATAGATTCATGAATGCGTAACATTTTTATTATATAATTTAAACGTGATTACAGATTTGCGTTCGCTGGTGGCCGCCCGGTGCCACAAAATAACTTACGACGTGTCAGTTTAAGAGCTAATTATCAAATTCTAAGAAGCGACCTTCAAGCCACTCTTGCTTTAGTCGCATCGCGTAGATTACTTGTAATTAAAGATAAAAAGAAGGGTCCCTACAACTTTTATAACTTAGCAAATGTTTGTCTGTAATTGTTCTATAAAGATATGTATGAGCTTCATTCGAACATTTTAGTATTACACGTGCAACGAGTATTGTCATAATTATTCGTTTTGTATTACATTAGTTATAGCTGTATATAGACCGTTTCTATTAATTAAAACTTGAGGAGATTGTCATTACTTTCCTTTCATGAAACTTTTATTTTTTATGATTTTTAGGTGCCAGTCTCTACTAGCATCTTGTTAATCCTTTCTTATTTTCTGACGCGAATTCCTATTCACGTCAGTCGAGACAAAAAAAGTTCCTGAAAGTTTGTATGTAAATCCTTTAAATTAAATGAAGATTTTTTTTACTTCAATGTAAATTAGGTAAAAATTATTTGTATGTATATATGTGTTTAGTGCAGCGAGAGTTCGGGGGGGCTCTCCTAAATATTATGAATTACATTTTTACAAATATTCTTTTTAAAGACAATCCTGTAGACCCTGTGGTAGTTCCGTATGTACCAAATGATGTGAGTTGGGTAGACACCTGAGACGAGTATGTACTCTAATTGGTAGCTAAAAAAAGATAACAAAGCACATTTTTTAATTGTATAATTTTTCTTCATTTATACGTTCCAATTTATATTATATTTACCCTTGCTGGACGTCGTCGGCTCAAAACTCCATTTTTGTAAAATAGCATAAAAGTACCACATTGTATAATATACAAATCTTCCTTCTAAATGAGAGTTTTCCGTGAATATAAACAGGTAAAGTACAATATCATATTAACCTTACCTCGTTATAATATCCACGATTCTCCTCACGTTTGTTTTGCACATGAAACTTATCATCATCTAAAGGTTTATGGTCTTGTAATTGAATATCCTCGCAGCAATTACTACTGTCTGATTGATCATTATTGTAATCTTCTCGTAGCTGTTCTAATATCGATGGTTTATTTTCTTTTGTATCTTTTGCTTTATTCACTCCGTCTAGCCAATGCAATATATATGCAGTTTTTTTTGCTACTGTTGTTAGTATCTCTATATATCTTTCAGACATGAAACGTGGACAATCTTGTATTGGTATAATGCGTTCGTATTCTAACAAGGATCTTTCGAATTGAGATTGCTCGTGCAAATTTTTTTTAACGATCGCTTGAGTATCATTTTTGGTATTTTCTGAAGTTTCTTTTATATCTTGCGATTCGTACTGTTCTGCACAGCAATTCATTCCTGATACAGACGCAACAGTTAGTTCCGATTGAGATTCCTCAATTAATTCATTTTGAATATTGGTACTAACAATTTCTCGAGTATCATCAGTTATATTCTCTTCCATATATTGTGTATAATTTTCTGCGCAGATATAGTAGAATAAATTATTTTGAATTTTCTCTTTTAATTGTAATCTCTATGACTGCGTTCCACTTGACAACGCTCGCAAGCATTATTTGTCTTTGTTTAAAAGTTTTTTTTTCCATGCTTACTTGATGCCACTTTTAATGTTGAAACAGGCCACATGTGATCAAAATTGACACTAGTTCGGTTTCACCAACTTTAATCTCGGCTTAACTTACTGTTTATGTTTTCTAATTCTTAGAATTAGAATTACTCTTATATTGGTGGAACCGATCCTTAATATTCATCAATTTTGACCACATGACCTATGATTTTGACGCTAGAAATGATCGCTGACTGCCAGCACGAAATTGTATCTTAACACTTGATAAATAGCTAAGATGAAATATGATTCCAAGAGCGTTGTGAGCGTCAAGTGGAACGCAGCCTATGACGACGAGATAGACTTGTTCGCATTGCTTGGAATCTCCAAAACTATTGTGCACTTAAAACAAGATAAATATATATTCGGGTGTTAAAGATAGAAAAAGTAAAGAGACTTTGAGTGCAAAAAGTGCAAGCAACACAGGTATCGAGCATATAACTTTTTCTAAAGCGGAAACGTGAAAAATTTTATACATATACACACATACAAAATTTTCACTTTTCGTTTCCGTTCTAAGAAAAAAGTTACATTGTATAATTGACTCCTAGACTTAATGATTGGTTTCGAATTTCTTCATCGGAAATCATTAACTAATATATAACGACATTTATTCAGCGAGAAATAACTCAATTAGATATCGATGTTTAATTAATGTAGAAATCATTTACATATTGCATTACATTTTGTTGTCGATTCAACATCAATTCGATGAGTCATTTCTCGTTGGGTATAGTGACTTGCATTTATCTATTTTTTTTATTTTACATTGCCTATCTTTTACGGCCGCTTTCTACAATAAGCCATAGAGTGCATTCATTTACGCAGCGGTTAGCTCAGAAGTATTACTTTATTCTTGTTGTTCACCAAGCGTTAAACAAGGATTAAATGGTACTTCCTGCGCTAACCGCTGCATCCCAGTGAGAAATGACAATGGAATCGACGTCGAATCGATGTCGATTCGACGTCGAAATCATCAAATCGACGTCGATTCCATTGTCATTTCTCACTGGGATAAACAAATGTAGACATAAGTTTCAAATCTTAAGCCGCAAGAAATTAACTAATCACAGTCGAATGTAAAAAAAATAATCGAATATTATTGATCAATTTCTTAAAGCTTAAAACTTAAAGCTCAGGCAATGGCTTATTGTAGAAAGCCCATTAATTTTTCTCGGCAAATCGAGTCTTCGTTACGTCTTAAAGTTTATGATCGACACGAAGAAGATGTGAATTTTTATGCGAAGAGATACTTGCTATACTTCAACCAAAAAGATTCGATTTTCCAGACACATTCGGCGCGGTATCGCCTCCTAGTCGCCTCTAATCGCAGAAATATAGATTCTTTTAGAAAGATCAAACGTTTCCCGTAATACACCGATAAATTATCGTCGTTCAGGCAGGACGACTCCAGTATGTTTTTGCAAGCAATACACAAATTATTACAGATTTCTATGGAGAAATAATTAATTAATATAATATGTTTAAAGTTTTTTTTAGAATCTTTACCTGTGCGTTTTCTACTGTAGCGTTTGAAGAAATCCCAGTAAACGAAATGAATCGGATATTTACATCTGGCCAGTGGTAACGCATCAAGGACACCCGTATTAGCCAATTGCTTGCGAAGATCGTCTCGATCCCACTCGTGGCTGTTGAGTCGCCTGCAGGATATATTTTTTATTGCATAAAAAAGCAAACTTGTTTACGCGTTATTGTTGAATACCATACTGTGGCTTAATGCAGCGAACGTAATGCGTGTCACATTTGTTTAATTCTTGCATCAACAAGTCCACGTTACATCGGAGTTTGGAAAGCATCGTAGTCTTCTTCGCTTTTCCATCAGCTTTATATGGATTATTTTTGGTAATTAACGAATGCAGAAATTTGTTTGTACTCACGCTGAATGTTATCGTTATCTCGTCCGGAATCTGTAAATGCATTATCACGTTAGACTATATTCAGATTTTATTTCAAGTACCACACATTTATCGTTTTAAGAACCAGTTGTTCCATCTTCAGATAAACTATGTGGGAACTTATTGGATAAACAAAAGAGTAAAAGAGTAAAGCTGTTTGTACATAATTCGCAAATCGCAAAACGTCGTTCCCAAACGCAGTTGCAGAATTGGCAGAATAATGTCAATCATTGCACGCAAGATGCATGCAGATACAAATCAACCGCACCTAATGAATTGAATTGCGACAGCGTTGACATTTTAATTTAAGTCAGATTGGAGAAACTTACTATGTTTCTAATATTTTGCGTATCACGAATATTTATAAAATTGCAATTTGCGAATTTTATATTTTCTCCCTTCAAAAAGATTAAAAAAATTTTATTTAAAGTAATGAAAAAACGACAAACTTTTTTCATTATTTATCATGATTGTTTACCTTGTCGGTATTCTTGGAAAGCAGATCATAGGCGGAGTATTGTACGGTACCACAGTAATGCTGTATAACAAAATTTTCTTTCCTTACGTTCAAAAATCGTCTCGTTGCAGGACAGTTCTTTGTGCTCACTTGGCGTATTAATGTGGACAAATTGTTCGAAACAGTCGACAGACACATCTGTGACGCGAAAATGTTCATTGTTAACTCTCCCGCATTAATAGATATCATTTATTAAATATCTATAAAATATTTACATCGTTTATGGCAGTAAACAAATATTTTTCGATCGTGCTTATGCGATCTTCGTACAATTGCACAATTTTGAACGATTCCTCATCGTCGATGAGACCCTCTTTTTGCAGATCATTCCGGCAGGACACCAGATAGTTTTTCACGAAATATTGCTGCAATCTCTCGTTGACAAAATTAATGCAAAGTTGCTCGATGCCGTTTGAATCAAAGCATTCGAATCCGAAGATGTCCAATATTCCTGAAGCGAGAAATATCGGTCAATATTTGCAAAATTATATCTTTTTTCATGGGATTTAATCCTTACAGAAATTTAATGTACTGGGAGGTAATGATTAATTATTTATTTTAAGCATTAAAAGCATTGTTGTTCAGTGCTTTTAAGGATCAGAGACATACCGAGAATTTTACCCAAATAGGTTTTTCACCTTTTTATAGGTGTTTATTACTCTTAATACTCAAAATAAGCAATTTTATCAAATTAGATTTCTGTAAGGGAAGAAAACATGTTTAATACCTAATCGTTCGCTATACAATCGGGCGGACAAGATTTCGTTTACGAAGTTGATCAACCAGCTGAAAAGAAGATCGTACAAGTGGCGGATGATGCTGTGCAATCGATAGTGACAGGCATCTATCGTGTTGAGATTACGTCGGCAGATGGTGTGTCGACGCCGGGTGTTTTGAGGATTTATTAAAGTAGATGTGAGCAATTCGGCGATATCCTCTTCTTTGATGCAGGTCAGTCTGCATGTGTTTTTCAAGGCTTCTCTAGATTCTGAAAATGGCACGATATCTGTCGAACTTTCGCTTTTTCCTCGCGTCGCTTATTACCAATAAAAAGCGTTTCCCATATAGTACAGATTTCCAAGGGATATCCTAAAGACATCCAGAGGACGTCTCTATGTCCTCTGATATTCGCGAAAATCCAGAAATTTGTCAAGGGGGTTTACTGGTTTTGTCGCAAGCGAAACTTTTTTTAAGATCAAATATGAAAAGAGAATATCAAATTATTATTTAAATTATTACGTTAAAAAAATATTATTTAAATGTATAATTCATAAAACGTGTTTTATTTAAAATTATATTAAGACAAAAGAAGAGTAATATAATGGAATCTGTTTTTTATATCTAGGAGTTTCTAAATTAAAAAAATATTTTTGGAATATCATAATTGTGATAAAGCATTTCAGAAATATTAAAAATTTATATAACATTTTGCTAGAAATATTTTTTTAAATGATATTCTAAAAGAGAGCAGAATTCTCATGGATACTCCAGTATCTTCTGAACGTTCTAAGGATATTCTCAGGATGTTTCTCGGATAAAGTACTGTATGGATTTCTACCGCGATTCATGTGAAATAATTAACATAATTGCCGTCGATTACGTACGTTGATCATTGATATCGATCTTGCAACGATCGTCCTCCTGCACGAACTGTATGTTACCCATGTGAATGAGCAAGGAGAGAATGAAGAAAACGTCCTTCTTCTGACTCACTGTAAACCCTAACATATCCATCGCTCTTGTAGTCTCACGAAAATCGTCGCAGAACTCTCGCACTTTCGAAGAATCCAAGTCGCTCACCATAAAGTATTGCGTATCCATCGACAATTTGAAGTCCGCGAATGTTACGTTTCCTACCGCGCTCATCATCTAAGGTGCAGTTTCGCGAAATTTAGCAAAGGGATCGCGCGATCAACGGTTATATTTCTTAAAAATGCGCACAGCTAGCTGAAGTCTCCTTCACCTGACTAAAAATCTGAAAATTGCAGCAGCCCTTCGTGACTCTGTTCCTTTCCAGGAGATAGGAGGATATCGTTGCTCCGCATATGCTACCCATTTTGTACTCGAGCCATACAAGTTGCACATGCCTCGAGCTGACTTTGTTCATTTCAGTGGGCGCAGTTGTGAAGGCCGATATCAGGCGGCAGGCGACCGAAATCCTCCGCACGATACCGCAAACCACATCTCGCGTCTCGGGGGCTTCAGGGGATGCATTTCTGGTTAGGAATTCCAGCGCCTTCCATGCATTGAATGTCTTTCCTGTTCCAGTTTCTCCGTTTAAGACTATCACCTTTACGAAGAAATGTTATTCCCAAATGTACAGGAAAACGGAATAAATGAATAAAATCAATCTGATTGATTCGTTCAGAAATACAGATATATTCAATTCGAGTATAGAGATCAAGAGGCTTCTCAGTACGTTTTGGACTTTTACTACATGAAAAGAATGGTTTTCTGAAAAGTTTATTTGGACCATCAAAATAATTATGTACGACGCTTAAACTGGTTGCTAGAATGTTAAAAAGTTTTTGCAGTCATCAACGTTTAAGCGTCCCGCATAATTATTTAATTGATGGTCCAACAAAATTATTTTTAAATCTGTATCTGGCTAAATTTTTAAATACTTTAGTAAAATTATTCTTTCTTTGTAAAGTCTTCCTCTGTTGGTGATACCAGCCAGTTCAGGCTTGTATCAGGCTCTGAATTGAAAATAGTTGGATTTACCTGGCTGGGTTTTCCGAGACTTTGAACTATCCTGTAATGTGCCCGAGCAGCCACGGCGAATATGTGAGGTGATACTTCCTTACAGCTCACATCGCATATATTGTCATACTCGTGAGCTTGCGAGAAATCGTAAATATCTTCGGTGGTAATCTCGCCGTTGGGATTGATCGCCAGAAGGAGAGTGCCGACCCACGTGTAAATATGACCGCGTTCCAAACGCTCCAGAAGATAATCTACGACTGTTAGAATCGTTTTCAGTTGACGGCGAACGAACTTACGACACATTTTGTATTAAACAGGTATATTATAGAAAATACGCGTACTCTTCTCCTGTGGCACAGCGCTTAGGTCTCCCATCGCATCCCAAATGTAGGACCAACTAGTCTCCTGCAACACGCGACTCAGTCAACGCGAATCTATATTGTCGAATATTAGCACGTACCTCTGCGAATGTACACATTGTCCTTATGTATATACAGAATTACTATTAAAGCAACATTCGTTGTTGACACTCGTCAGTTTGATAATATAAGGTTTTTGCCGTATCAAATTTATGAGAGAGAGTATAGAATGTATATGTCGCTACGTCAAAGTGACACACGTATACTTTAAAACAATGACAGAATTCGTAGAGAAGTTCGCTTATCGATATGCAAGTCGATTTGCATTATGACTTTTGTGAAAATAAAAATATCAGTAATAATGGTTATTGGATGTAGAAGATAAACGTGTAATCATTATGTTACGTATGCTCTTTATTTGCCATAACTTTTATACGATGCGACAGAATTGGTTTTCAAAATCATTCGCATTAGTCACAGGCTCGTTCTCCGAGTTGTAACAGCCGTGGCAGGCGATTAACATCAATGTCGATTGCTCATCGATAATATCAATAAAATTGCCATTTAATTTATCCCATATCAGATCTATGAATTTGTATTCGTTATTAATAGTAAGTGGATTTGAACTACTCGGTCTATTTCTATAAATATTTGACTGCATCTTGCAAAGATAATTCTGCGGAAAAGCTAAGATTTCCCTAATCTCCACATTTTATTTTATATTTCTTAAAAAAATTAATGAAATTTTATATATTTATATATATATGTATATATTTCTCTTTCTTTTTCTCACTCTCACTCTCTCATTTTCCTTCCGTTCTTATTTTCAAATATAATTAATATATAAATTAAACGTATGAACAAATAAATATACAATGATCATATAATATCTAGTTTCTCCTGACATTCGTCAATATCCAGATATTATTCAATTTACATATGTGAAATGTTTTGTTAAAATACTGCAGAATATCATACAATGCAGATGAAAACATACTTACGAAATTGCGTTTGCGTTTATATTTTGCAGTAATAATTATTGTCATCATTTATCTTTTTAATAGAAAATAAAGGATTATACATAAACATGTATATTTTAATATGTTGTTGAATTATCTATAACAAGCTTATTAAAAGAATATACAATCTTTAGAAATTATATATAATCTGTGAGATTACAATTCGGAAGAATAACTCGAACTATATTACGATCTTGAATCTGAAGGGCTAAATTTTTAGCATTAGGAGATTTAAGTTAGATTTATTCGTGTTGTCGATGTGATTACACGAAAGACAGGAGAATCTAAATATCATATACGAATTTACTTATAATATCGAATACGAACTTACTAGCACCAAGCACATACCAAGCACACAATAAATTAAAATTACCTGTGGAATTTACATAATACCCTGGCTTCACTAATTATAATCGTAATCCGTGCCTACTTGTCACAAGATATATCCACGAACCAAAGTTACATTCGTGCGACTTTCTCAAAATTAGCCAAACGTACTTGCGATATTTTTGAACGACGACGACAAATAAAATACAATACTAACGCTTTTTTGTGACATTATTAACAATGATTAACTGCGTTTAATTTTTGTTTGATTACAGCGAATTAGCTGTAGAAAGAAAATTTGATGAATTTACAATGGTGGCACGAATGGCTACATGCCCTAGGTAATCGACTCGCGATCTGTGGATCCGAGTTCGATTCCCCACTGCGCCCCATATAACCTATTTCCTTACTTAAATGTGATCTCAAGTGCTAAATTAGGGATTAGCGAATTATCTGTTTATTATTAAAGCTTTATCTGTTTATTCAGTGATCGACGCAATTTTTCGCGTTTAGGAGAACATCATTTCACCTTGCGAATGAATGTGTCTTTGGAGCACTACGCTCCAATACGTAATTTTGATTCAATTAGGGCATTTAAAGATATAAAAAAAAGCTTAATGCCTATGTAAGACTCACTTTGATTTGATACGTGACAAAAATTGTGAATTGATTACATGTGGCCTTTTTCCCAGAAGAGGCATACATTGGATCATAAATCCATCTTATAACATAGTACTGAGTCTCATAAATGGGTCGGAAAACCATATAGAGGTTTAAAGAAGAAGGTAAATGTATCAATAATAAATGATATGTATTTAGAAAATCGTTTTTAAACTTGAATAAACAGATTTTAGTATGTATAAGTATAAAAATTATAAATTCTGAGACGTTGCGCACGTTTGCATCCAAAGGAAAAATGATGGATTCTGAATTTCAACTTCGAACGATTAGATTAATTTTCTCAATTGCACTTGTACATCACGCTTAAAATTAATTTCTTGCATTTATATTTACAATAAATTATATATATATGTATATTACAAAAATTATTTGCACTTGATAAATATTTGCAATTAAGGTTTTATTCGATCTAAGCGTAGATAGGACTTCCGTTTTCAGCTGCCAAAAATAATGTCACAATATTGTGACATTATTTTAGAAGAAGACTCCACACATATACGAAGCGCAGGTCCTAAACCGATCGCCGGATAAAGGATTTAGTGATAAGCAGATAGTCTCTAATTTTGCACTTGAGATCACGTTTAAGTGAGGAAATGAAATTTACCGCTAATATTAACGATTAAGTCCGATATCCGTACCCATAACGCACGCGGGCGCGAATTATACACCATCCGAAATATCCGCTCAGGAATAGATGGCTTCGCGCGACACTCTCTGCACCACATTACATAAATACTGTGGCGAATTACATCAGACGAATGCGTAATATCAAATGACATACATCATTACGTTGTTAATGCGTAGGACGTGAACATTATGTCGCGCAGAGAACTAATTACGAGTACGAGCAAGTAAAACGAGATCATTTTACGATATCTTGGACGTCCGAATCGGTCGAAGGACCGTCTGGTAGAAATGCGATTGAGTAATTATATACAAATTAAATTCTTTTCAGCTGACATACAATTCAGCTATCGTTGCTCTATTGCAACTTGTAACGTAATTGGAACGATTATGGACTCATTTTCGATTTAGGCGTTCAGGTTTTACTGAATGAAAAATCAATTAAACATTTTGTGTGAATGATTTGTCCGTAAGGAGATCAATGAGTCTTTCAAAGATTTTCTATACTTCGAGGATGCGGACGTCTGGAACGAAAAGAAACGTTGCTACACGCAAAGAAGATCAATATAACCGGCGTATCATTAAAGCCGTAGTTTTCTAGGTGTCGGAATGAGAGACTTGACAGTGTTTCCTTCTATCTTAGCATCACGTTGTTCTGCGTCGTTTAAATCGCATGGCGATTTTATGCAATTCTTCGGCTTGGTGGGCGAGCCGGACACGCATTCCGACGAGTGTCTTCTCGCATGCACATTGATGCGACGTGTCGGAGTCTGTTCCTGACGGAGTCTTAGCGTATGAGGTAAACGTTCGATTGGCTTGCGATGGCTCCCGGCGGAATTAAGCTCGGAGAGCAGTGAAGGTCGCTGACGATCCAACGAGTCACTCCAACTGCAATCAAGAAGTTATTACTCAAGTGAGAAATAGAGATCGCGGAGATGGAGAACGTAAAAGTTCGATTCAAATAACGATTCTGATCGAATTAAAAGAACTCAAAACTTACCGCACACGGCTAATCAAGGCAGCGTGAAACATTAGGAATTATAAATCCAGTATTTTATCGCAAGAAATTGGGATAATTATTATCAAGGTGTAATTATTACATTAATGTTGAAACGAAAACGGACTATTACAACATGCCAGAAACATTAGTTTTATAAATGTAAACAGCACAATAATCTACATTCGAATCTTTCTACATTCGAATAGTTAAAGATATTTTCTAAACTACAAACATTAGATTTTATTCGATCATTAGGCTTTCAAAAATGCAGTCACAGATTATTTTATTTCGCAAAGAAAAAAGAAATTGATCGAAGACATGACATGAAGCTGAATATGAAAAATGATAAGTACGTAAAACGCAGCGTTACAATTTTGTGTACAATGTTTGAATAGTTGTTACTGCTATAAAATATAATACAGGAATATAATAATTTATATATGAAGCTATTATATTTTATAAAATAATCATGTTTGTTAAGCTATTATAACAAAATGTAGCAGTTTATAATAAATTCGATCGTTTTGTTCTGACAAGATTTGCCTCGATCAATCAGTCGGAAATTGCGAAACAAATGAGAAATCAGATTACTCGATTCCATGCAAAATGTGAATTCAATTACTAATAACGGATTGCCAAACAAGTGGTACGAAAATAAAAGAGGTGCATGAGTATAAGGGCGTTAAATGCAGACAGGAGTACATATCCCAATAACAAGTCACACAGACTGACGCACTCTACCTTCCCGATCCTGAAGCTGCGTCACGCGGAATCACCCGAGCAAAGGGCGGGACCAGAGCAGCAAAAAGAACATTATTACTTATGATGCACATGATAGAGGAGATATTTAAAACGCGATTGTGTTAGTGATACAAGAATAATTCACGTAAATGTAATTTTTAACGATCAATGGTATTAATTGTAAAAAAATAATGTATATATGTTGAATGAAGATTATGAATATTAGAACTTAAACGTGTAACTATAATTATTAAGAAAGGATGAATTCTCACCTAACGAGAGGCCCCATGACACCATCCTGTGGGAGTGACTGTAGGAGCGAGGGCCCCGCCGACACTGGACGTGTCTAAAGCCGCAATCAAACAATTTCCTTTTAATCGAGAGGACGACGATAAGATAACATTAATAGTAGGAACGAATCACGAAATGCAATCACAAAACAAAAGCGATTACTGTGATCGTAACAATACAAAGATAAAACGGCGTGAAGTACGATAAAGGGATTGAAAGATTCGATGAAGCGATACCTTCTCTGTTTGCGTAGCGGCGTTACAAGTGTCTCCAGAGGAGACGTTGATGTTGCGTGTCGGCAAAGTACAACTTTGAATATCGCCATTCTTAGGTTCTTGAAGCTTCGACATCTGGAGCTGCGAAGATCAATATTCGATTATCACTCCTATGCGATTCGCTTCGATTAATAATAAAGAGCGCTCTGAGAATGATTACCGATTAGACCTCCATCGGAACGAGCTTTTCGCGGTACAGAGCGGTACAGTTAATCGCGAATGGGATTTACCTCGTTATTTACCTCAAGTAGCTCGATGGTACGATCTCGCACTTGTATCGTGCGATCTCGGTCCTCCACCTGGCCCTGAAGGAACACCACCTGCCTTCTCAAATCCGCTAGTTCGTCCGCAATACTACTACCACCACTTCCCGGTGACGTGCTCACGTCAGTCATGTTACTTCCACCCTCGTTCAGGTTACAGAAGAGGCCATTCTGCGATAATACCGACAACGTCATTTCTAATTTAACTTAACGTCGCCCTCAATTAAGCGGGATTAAAAAAGAATCCAAGTCATTTTTAGATCTATTTTCTGAACACTTTTTTATAGGAGGTATAAGTACTCACCTTCGGATTATCGAATGGGTTGAGAGTTTCTGTCTAAAAATCAATATCAGATATTAGTACACGGTAGATTTATTTTTAGCATTGGCAATAATTCTCATAATTTGCTATCAGGATCGAGTAAAACAGTAGAATTCGAGTGAGAATTAAGTCTACTTCTTGCAATTATAACTTTCACATATCTTGTAATTATAATTTCACATACTGCTTTCTTTTGTATAATTGCAACTTTCATACGTATAAGTTTTACTCGATTCCGTGTAAATAAAAGTACGTAATATGTTATTAAAAATATATGTGATATATTATAATTAAATAAATACACAAACATGCATGCAAATAAGGTGACGTAAATTAATAAATGTGCAAAAAAAATCAATGCAACGTACCCTCGTCAAATCGTTCTCTCCTGACTTGAGACGCAAAATCAGGAAGGACGACAAAAATGAAAAATAAAAAAGATCGTGTTAATAAAAATAGGTAAAAACGTAAACGCACCGTGTACATGGGTAACGGAATAAAATGCTTGTGGTCGATAACGTGTGTGTGGTGGAAACCGAAGGCGGACCTCGAGCTAAAACTCAAGTCGCTTCGACACCGCGCTTAAAACGCGTGAAACATATTTACGGGGACGATCGCAAGAAGCGATGTGACGTGCACAATTTTTGGCGAGGTAAAAAGGCAAGCGTGTGTTATGCTTCTGTCGTACCTCCTGAAGAACTCGTTTGAGCTTCAGGAGCATCGTCTTTATGGAGACGATGTCCTGGAACATGTACTGATACGTGCCGCGGTCTATCCTGAGGCTGGCCTCGTCACCGGAATCGACGCACGAGGATGACACCTACAGTCAGCAAGATATGTGATATCAGCAAAATATTCCCTTCAGACAAATTGAGTTTGAGCGTAAAATCGTAACTTACACTTCCCGACGTTCTCATAGGACTAGAAACTTGACGGTTGCGCATGTTGTCTAATGAACGCGGCGATTCCGTTCCCGATCTACTGCGTAACAGCCTTGACATCCTGTCACTTCCGATTCTGAAACAAGAATAGTGAAATCCATGTAATTTCACGTTTAATCGTCAGAACTATCCTTGAACTGCACCAGGAGCTCTAGAATTTTTTAAGAAGAGAGGAAGAGTCGGTTCTCCAGCAATTATACAAGGTGTCCCAAAATTCACGACTCACAATACTATAGCCAAATAGTATTTTAATTTTACTTAGTATTTTAATTTTAATTTTACTAAAGGTATTTTATTTTAATTTTAATTCACTTAGGCTGGATTGTTCCGCTTTTCGGTAAACTTCAGCTCACCGTCTTACTCTCTTACTCTCTTATGTTTTTACTCTTTTAATCTTTTGTTTATCCAACAGGTAAATTACCACATAATTTATTTGAAGCTGGAACAACCGGCCCTTAATATTTTAATTTTATTTAATTTTCGAAAAATTAAGTAAAAAAATTATTTGTAAATTTTTATTTTAAGCAATAGTTTCTGAGATAAGAGTTTAAATATGGCCAATTACAAAATATTTAGATGGTTACCTGTAAGTATTAATGAACGCTGAAGTGCGTCCTCATCAGTGCTCAGTTATAAAGGAAAATGTATTAGACGAATTAGAGTCGAAGCGCAAACTAATAATTTAATGTATTTTTCTTAATCTGTACATGATTCAAACGTTTCGTTTTTTTCCAAGCCTCAGTGAACAAAATTATAAGAGTTGTTTTTTGCGTTCCAAAGTAGGAAATAATAAGAATATCGCTCACGCTGATTACAAGGCCGAGTGATTCAGATCCTAAAGAAAGTTAAGAATTACAATAAAATCCATAGCTAGTCATGTAGAAAAAAATTAATAAATTAAATATAATAAAAAATTTAAATTTAATGAAACTTTTGAAACGGTCATTATATGAATAAAATAAAGGCAGAAATGACGTCAACTGTACAAAAGTTTAAATAACAATGTTGTGTTCACTAATACTACCGCATGCGCGATTCATGGACATGTGACCATCTAAATATAGTTTGTAATTGGTTATATTTAAACTATTATTATAATTTACTTCAAGAACTGTTTGAAATAAAAATTCATAAATACATAACTTTTTTACTTAATTTATCGAGAACTATCTTATTGTAGTATTTTAAGTCAACGAATTTTGGGATACCCTGTATAGAAATTCTAAAAGAGATTTATTAACTATATAGAAACGTATCTAATTAATCTATTCGTCATCTATTCTCATCTATTTTAAATCATTCTCTATAATACAATAAAAAGAAGTATGATGATTTGACGGAACAGATGATAATTAATCATGCTACATCGAAAAATAAATAATATATACACAGAAAGTAATAGAAGAAGAGTAGAAATATATAGAAAATAATATATATGTAGAAAGAGAACTACACGTGTCGAATATAAACGACAGGCAGCGAGAGCTTTCTGCGAGTAAACATAAACCAGCGGGGGTTTAACAGGAAGTAGTGTATTCGCGCATTATCATAATTCTCATCGCAGTCACGCTATCCCAATAAAAAAGAAAACGAGCATGCGGCACCCAATCTCCTCGCTTCCTCGCTGTCTTGTATCTCTTAGGCTAATCGGAAATATTTGAGGGAAGAGCATGAAGCTCTTCCTGAAGGGAACGGCAGAGTGAGAGGCACTACCTTCCGGAACTATTCTTGGCTCGCGAGGAGGCCGCGGCGGAGGAGGAGGCGGCCGCGACGCCGATGCTCGTGGAGGTGATCTGACCGTTGCTCGGCGCCCTGGGCTGCCGCGGAGGCGGCGATCCATTCGTGGGCGTCGAGCTCTCGGACGAGAGGCCGGAGTCGTCGCGTCCATCCTCGGCGCCGCCGCCGGTACCGTTCTCCAAGTTCGCGGGGACGCGAACGCGCGTCGGCAGGCCGGTGGTGCGTCTCCGGGCGCCCTTCGAGTTCTCGGCCGACGTGGAGGCCATCGTCGACTTGTTCCCTCAACCGAATCGTCGGTCGTCTCTCGGTAATCACGCGCGGGTCATCGGCCGCCCTGGTCCCGCCGTGCGTTCACCAAATCGAACGCGGTTAGCCAAGTCTCTAGCTGAACGAGCGCGAGGACACCGTCGAACTTCTCGGGAACTTGTTAGGCTCGTTCTTGACTTGAGTAGAAAGAGGAGAATCCGACAGTTTCCTTTAGGATTTCCTCGAGTTTCCTCACGGAATTTTCTCGACGTGACCGTCGAGTGGTCGCGTTTATCGTATCACTGAAACGTGACAGTCCGTCGGAAAGCTTCACCCGCAGGAATAGGACAATGTAAATAAAAGATGGAGCGCGGACGGGCATATTTAGCTGGACGGGACGGAATGCATCGTCGCTTTACGGTCGACGGAGGACGAGAAGAGGGAAACGCGCGGCAGGGTGAGAAGCGAGAGGCGATAATGGAAGGAGCCTGGTGGAGTACGATGAGTAATTCGGTAGACATGCAGTTGCCGCGGTCACTTTCCCGAGTTGCACGTCCGGCTTACACGCGCCGAATTACACGCGTTCCGCGTGTGCGTTTCGTAATCCTCGCGCTAAGTTACGCGAATTCGAGCGTAACTTGGTGCCCCGGCACGGGGGATGACGTGTTATGCTCCGTTCGCCGATGACATCGCAAATGAAACTGCAAAATGAGATAAACGTAAACGGCAACTCGGAGACCTGGATCGATGGACAGGTGAACGGAAAGAATTAAAAAAAAAAAGAAAAATAGAAATCCAGTGAACGCGATACATAGATCGATCCAGATCGCCGCTCGGATAGCGGTAACGCAATATTTTGCGGATTGACTAACGAGTTTTTTTTTCTCTCCTTTTGATACACCGCAAGTTATTTGCGTTGTAAATTATCGAACGTGATAGTTAAGCGCGCTGGAAAATTACGCCTCTAATTTAATTAGTTTCGCGAAACGAAAATGATTCTTTTACTTATTTCGCGTTTGCCGTATCATCTCATTCCCTCGCAATTTATCGCGTCTCCAACGCAATCCGTTCGTTAGCGCTTCCGTTCGTTCCTATCTTTTTTTTTCTCTTCATTTTCATAACAATCTCGAACTCGGAAGGAGTTGAGTCATCCTGTCGAGTGAAAGTTATCCTACCGAAATCACTAGCGCACGTTTTATCGAACCGAATGATTATTATCTAACATAGTGCGGTTATCACAAAATCCGCAAATTTCATAACTTTCTCTGATTTTCAGACAAAATCCATGATTTTCTCTGATGCTTTCAATAACATTTTGAAATTTATTGTATTTTTGTCCTGATTTGGAAACCGTCAAATATTTTGTTGAGAGAACCATTTAACGTAGCAATGTAAATTACTATTAATATCGCTGATGCATTTAAGCATGCACTATTTGCATTCAATTGTTAGGTTGGTATTATAAATACGTAGATGTGATGACGCATATTAAACTTTTTTCAAGAATTTTAATTTTCCAGAAAATTTTGCAAAATTCCCTGACTTTTTCCTTGATTTCCGATTTTGTGGCAATCCTCAATTACATTACTTGATTCCTTTTTTTAAAAAAGAGGAATATAATTTCCTTTCAATAAATCCGAAATTAATTGATTATTGTTTAATCCCAGGGGGAAATCAGGCTGTCTTGTCACAGGACTAATTAAAGATCTTCCGCGCGGCGCAATTTTGGCACCTCCGGCGCTCCGCATGAGCTAATTTCTGCTAATCAAATTAATCGATTTACTGTAGAGACTCGGGAAGCGTCGGTTAATATTTTATGAGACTATTAATAAACTCTGTGAATCTTAATGCCACGGTTAAATATACGACTGCGACCTCGCGTGTTCCAGTACAACCGTGCGTCGTTTTATCATCGCACTATCTTGGACTGGGAAGATTCACGTGACAACGATGATTCCAGGGAAAAGGCGATAAGGGCCAAGAACACGAGTTCAGAAACGGTCGCGAACAAAGGAAAACTCAGCGTCGGTGCCGAGCTTCACCTTTTCTACCTGGACTCGGCCGAACTCAACGTCACGCTACGTCCCCTCGCATAATTCGCGGCAGGCCGGGATCAAGGATTCGCGCTTCCCGGCGTGGAATCGTCGGTGCCTGTTGCGAAACGAGAGCTCCCACGACCGTCCCACGATCCACTGGATCTCACACACACATAAGACGAGTAGACTTTTTCTTTTCGGAGCGATCACTTCGCGTTAGGAGACCCGGTGCGTCGCGCGAGACGCGAAGCGTCTACTTGCTGGGCGTCGCATCTAGGTACCTTCGACGGTCTCCTCGTCGTCGTCGTCGTCGTCGTAGAGGGACTCCCTCGTGAACGCGACACGAGGAAAGTCCCCCCTTCCATGTGAAAGATACGACACCGTTCCGGACGAAACCGTGACCTGCGGCGGTCACCGGCAAGGTAGACACGAAATCAGGATCACGAAGGATACTCTCTGCGAGGGGATATACACAGGGAACGCGTGCGCACCTCGCACTACGGCGATGAGCTGCGGTTCGATATCGTCGCGGTGGACGACGAGAAGAGAGGAGAAAGAGAAGTCGGAGAGGTAGGGAAGAATGGTAGGGGGAACAGCTGCAGACAGCACGGGGGGAGGTGAATGCAAGAACGGTGGGGGTGATAATGCAAAAAGCTGCGGGAATTATTACAATACCGGAGTTAACGATACAGATCTTGTCCACGGGATACCTGGACTTCCAAACTCTCGCGATCGAGTTTTCCGACTTTTTTTTCCTTTTCCCCTGGGTGTATTGCTTTTTGCTCGTAATTATAATGTTATACTCGATGAATATCCTTTCGTTTTCTCAATCGGAATTTCGAAGCTAATGGGTGTCTCGAGTACCTCCAGGAATTCGCGAAGAGACTTATGTCCGTTTCTATTTATTCTCTAAAACTTTTAAAGTGAATCTTATTCTGAAAAGTGAAAATAAGATTCACTTTAATCTTGGTTTAATTTTCTCTTTATCTTTTTCTAATTCTAAAAATAAAAAAAGGAAAGATAAACAATAAATTAGTTAAACCGAGATTAAAGGCTT